CCGCGGCGGGTAACGTGACCAAAGAAAAAAAAGAGGGGGGCTCGCGGCTTTATAAGCCTTTTCTGGCGGGGGCCGCGGCGCGCGCGCGCTAGTGAGGGAGGGAGCGGAGCGGGAAGGGAGGAAGGCGAATTACGGGGCCGGGGACGAGCTGTGAGGTCCAGACCGACCGACCGAGGGCAAGCCAGGTAGGAAACCAGGCCCGGGTGTGTGTGGGGGGAATGGATACTCGCCCCCTTCGTGGCAGAATGGCTTTTTCTCTCTGTTGAGGCAAAGTCTCCTTCGCGCGCGCTTCATGGACCGGAGGGGGAATGTGGCTCCCTTGAGCCGGGGTGGGGGGTGGGGGAGACGGATACTCGCCCCCTTCGTGGCAGAAGGGCTTTTTCTTTCTGTTGAGGCAAAGTCTCATTCGCGCGCGTTTCATGGACAGGAGCGGGAATGTGGCTCCCTTGAAGGCTAATGAGGACTCCATCACGAGGCGCAGTCTACCTCCGAGTGCTGAAACGAGGGGGGTGAGGTGGAGAGGACAGTTAACGGTCAAGGCCTGCTGCCTGACCGTGCCCGGTTTGCTTGGGCGGCCTCCTCGCGTGTCTTGACCCGTTGTGGGCGGAGGTGGGTGGGCATTGCCCCTTCCGCGCCCGCTCTTGACGCCCTCCAAAGCAAGGGGACCTTTTTTCGGCAACGAAGGAGAGGGCAGCTCGTTGAGGAGAGCTGGAGGACCGGCCGGGCCCCCAGGGTGACTCCCCGGGGACAGCTAGGGGGAGAAGTGAGGAATCTCCCGTATACCTTCCTTTTGCAACAGGTAAAAACGTGCCCCCGCGATACGTGGCTGCAGCTGCCTATTGTGTAGAGAGGGAACAGAGGTTGGGCAGGATGCCTCTCTGGGGATGCTCAGCTGTGCCTGCTGCCCGACCTCTTTTCTCCCTACAAGATACAACTGAAGCCTTGTACCCAGGCGCAACTTTTAGGATACACAAGACTTTGTTGTGTTCACCTGCACTTGGAAATACGGAGTGTTTTACCAGCGAAGAACCAGCGGACAGTTGCTTATGGACCAAGAGTATCTTCCAAATATTGGGAGAGTTTGAGGGATTTAAATGTAGGGTTGAGGGCCCAGGAAGTCAATAGGAAGGGGAATTCATAATTGGATATCAGGATAGGACTGTTTCTTCCAGCCTCATCAGTGGATAGTTTATTTCTTCAGAAATTTGGCTGGCGTGGAAGGCAAATACTGTAGTGATCATTGTATTTCCCCTAATGGTTGGGTTTGAGTCTCATCTGCCTCTGATGGGTTAGTATGAGGTTAGTATGAAACAGTTATCACCGTCAAGACTCTAGAGCAGTGAGTGGACCACAGTCTTGGGTGACCCAGGTGTTTTTGGACTGCACATCCCAGAAATCCAGATCAGCACAGCTAGTGGTGAAGGCTTCTGGGAGTTGCAGTTCAAGAACATCTGGGTTACCCAAGGCTGGGTTGACTTTGTGATCAGTCCCTTTTAGCAATAAGGGGCATTCTTTCTGGCTTAGGGGCCCTACCTTTGCCATAACTCAGTGACAGAACACATGTTTTTTATAAAAGAGTTCTCAGTTTCAGTCCCCAGTACTTCCAAGTAGGATGGGTAATGACCCCTGTCTGACACCTCTGAGCTGTTCTGTCAGTTAGGCAGAATAATGCGGAGTTGGTCAAAAGCAGTTTCACATATTCAACTTTGACTTGTAAAGTAAATACAACAGTGTAGACCAGTCCTATGCAGATTTATTTGAAAATAAATATTGGTATATTATATATGCTTAAATTTTAAGTAGTCAGACATAGAAGTGCAAACCTAGTTTTTTGTTTTTTGTTGTTGTTTTTTGAGAGAGAGAGAGAGAGAGAGTGAAAGCCTAGCTCAACTGTAGCTTGTATACACCATCAGACTTGTGCAACATAATCAGGGTTGACAGGATAGGGCTAAATTAGAACAATGGTCTCAGTTGATTATAAAGTAGTTTCTAAGGTTTTTACTGAATAAACACAAGTGATGAATAGCAGAGTAGCTATACTCCCAAACAGGAAAGTACCATTTGCCAGTGGATGGAAGTTTACTCTTGAAAGAAAGCAGTCTTGGAAGCTGCTACCCAGATGTTAGAAAGTAAGTTCCACAAATTAGGAATGTAACAGTGAGGCAGATAGATTTTTCAAAGGCCTTCCAGACCAGAGTCTTGTCTTCATTGTGTGCTCATCACCCAAGTAATGAAGGCCACCTGTATGTCTGTGTCTGAAGCATACCTGAGCTATGATGTTCCCACTTAATGAGTTTTATCTGTCTCTGGCTTAACTCATTTGTAAAGAAGCTTACTTGGCAGCCTGACTAATGACGGCACTACTAACAGCTGCTTCATGCATTTTCAGAAATCTGATGGAGAAACCTATGCCCAGATTGGAAGACCATACGTGGAGTTGTTCCTGTACAGCTAGAGGAAGACATAAAGGCCCCTTAGGTGGAACCGCTACAGAGCTGGCAGCCAGGGTGGGCGAAATGTTGAGCACATCGGTCTCAGGTTCTCCCTTGACCTTAGTAGGTCATGGAGCACAGAAGACTAGCAAATCTAACATTGGCAGTAGCACCAGCAGCAGTTTGAACTTGAGCAGGGACGTAGTGCAAAGGAGCCTGGTGCTTTTTGTTGTGGGCACTTTTCTCGCATTGGTGCTGAATTTGCTGCAGATCCAGAGAAATGTGACGCTGTTCCCTGAAGAGGTCATATCTACAATTTTCTCCTCTGCCTGGTGGGTGCCCCCTTGCTGTGGGACAGCAGCAGGTGAGCCACTGGATTCAGTGATGCTTGTTTGGAGATATTTGTTTAGAAAACTAAGAGTGAGTTTGTTATATTATTTTGAAGAGTGTTTAATTGACAAGTTTTTGTAATGTTCTTCTTTCCTTCACTTATTGAAAGCCTTTTAAATTTATTTAGTCAAAAGCTCCCAGAGCAGCTTTTTTCAAGTTGCTGGGCTTTTCTCAAGAGTGATTGTTATCAATAAGAATGTAAAAGAATTATTCATGTGTCCAGGTATTGAGAAACTTTAGAGAGCAGCATCATTAAACATAGATTACAAAAAGCCAAGTTGCTCTATATAAAAAAATTCTACAATTTGTAGTTTTCCAATGACCAGGCATTTTGCAGAAATTATGGGTTAAGTCAGTATGTTGTCTTCCTGGGCTCATATTGCTTTAAGAGTTGGCACTGTGGTTGATCCTGGAAATAAGGAGGAGTTTGCTCTAGCTACTGTATTGTCTGTCAAGATTCAACACAGGGGATGGCATGACTCATCACCACTCTCTGCCTTCTATTGGTTCTCTCTTAAAACTGGCGAGTCTCCTGTTCCCTTTCTTATTGGTTGCCAGCCTGAACATGCCACACACTTGAATCAAAAACAAGGAAGTCACATGTTGTGACAGCAGAGGAGGGGAAGTGAAGTTTGGCTGTGTGCCTGTCCTAAGAGCAGCTTCAGCAGCTTCAGTTGCCAGCAGAAACTTGAGGGTGAGGGGGGCAGGTGTTAAGCCAAATATGTCACATAGTCCAAGGCAAAATGTTCTCTCTAAATAGGAAGCTCCTTTGTTAAACGGTAGAAATGAAGCATATATCTGCATGTTTAAAGCAGACAAATGGCATGGTACTAACTATACACTGAACACAAACAGCATAAATGAAGAGCATTCTTGACAGTTGTACTGTTTAGAGTACAGTGTTGCATGGTTTGCAGAAATGTTTGAACTGTAAAACCATTTTCATGCTTGTCAAACCTATGAACAGAGCCACAAAGAAAAGAGGCAGAGTCGAGATGACTCTGCAGTAATAAAGCTATACAAAAACATGTCTGTAAGGATATTTTCCCCCTTTGATATTCAGGCTGACGTAGCATGATCTCAAGCCCAAAGCGTAAGAAGGACAAAGGGCTTGAAGAGCATTCAAGTTTATGATTCAGTGCAAACTGTTCAGTGACCTGGTTAATCATTTTAACATACAAGAGTATCTGTACTCAGTGGTGTTATTGCTGTGCTTTGTGCTTTTATTTGTCAAGGACAGGAGCGACAGTATATAGTTCTCCAGATACTGTCTTTGTGCTTTTATTTGTCAAGGACAGGAGCTATATTGTTCTCCAGATATTGTTGGACTCCCATGGATTCCGCACCTTGACTGTGCTGGAAGATGCAGCCTAACAGTATCTGGAGGGCTACCTGTTCACAACCCAATCTAATTTCCCCCAGTGATCATGTGAGTTAAGTTACTGTTACTCCTATTTTGCAAATAGCATCTTAGGCCTGAAGAAGGGAGGCATGACTTGTCAAAGCCACACTGCTTCAACTCACTATCATACAGGGATTTTTAATCCAATTAAATTTTATTGTTAGTGCCATGTTGGTAACTATAATTCTGAAATAACTCCTTTTCATTTACCGTATGATTCCAGAAGTTATTTTCAGACATCATTAAATACAGTTTTCAAAACATTTTTTTTCTGGTACAAAAGTAATTTGCTGATGGCTTAGGACTGAATGCACCTGCCTCTTTGGCTATAGGTATTACTCCAGGGCCATAGGAAACAATCACTTGGCTCATTACCATAGGTATGCAGTCTTCCTTCAGCAGTTCTGGTTTGTGTGGGTGAAGAGGCTAGTTTTGGTTAGGCTTCACAGAAGCAGACAGAGTTTGCCACTGTTAGAAGACAAGAACTATTCCTCGTAGTTGTTTACCAGGTATACATGCCAGCATCACCTGGTCAAGGCTATTTGAAGTTAGAAACTACTCAAACCAGGTCTGCCATTCTGGTGGAGAAATAAGTTACCACTTGGAGTGCTGATCGTTTCTCCCAAGCCTGGTGCATGCCATGTAATGCCTAAATAAACACCCAAGTAGAGCTGATTTATCATACTAGTAGCAAAAATAAAGGTGATCATTCCAGGACTTACCCTACTTCAATGGTACCTGCTAAATAGTATTTTACAAGCAAGTAGTTCTCTATTAATTAGAGAAAGTGCTTGTTTTAAGTACCATAATGGAAACCAGGTAAAAAAATAAATAGCAGCTTAGTGGCAGAGCACATGCTTTCCATGCAGAGATTCTCGGGTCTAATCCTTGGCATCTCCAGGTAGGCCAGGAAAGAATCTGGTATGAAATGTTAGACTGCCAGTGCCAGTCATTGTCAACTATATAGTAGTTTGGCTCAGTCTTAAGCAGGGTTCTGTTGTATTAAAATATTTTGCATTTTAAAGTGGAAGGTGGTTTTAATGTGTAGAATTTCTGGAAGAAAGGAGGCTCCTTACTGGCTCCTTAGTCAAGACAGTTTATCAGAATTAAGACAGATTATCAGAACTGTTCATAGCTGTACAGATCTGTGAACTTGGGAGTTTCTCTGAAAGCTGACAAATACTACATTTCTGTACAGCAGGGCAGATAGTAATTATCCCTGACTTTCCTTTTCCTGATTATCAGTGGTAACTCTCTGGCAACCAGAATTGGCAGGCTCTGAATTATAGCGTGGCATCTTTTTTTTAAACCATATGCCCATGTGTACAGCAGGGCAGATAGTAATTATCCCTACCTTTCCTTTTCCTGAGTATCAGTGGTAACTCTCTCGCAACCAGAATTGACAGGCTCTGAATTATAGTGTGCCATCTTTTTTAAACCATATGCCCATATTTGGTAGCACAATATGTTTCTTAAATACCACTGAGAGATATAACAGTAAGGAATTATTCCTCTTTGTGAGATTTCACTATGTATTTTGGAGATGCATATGTACACTACCTTGATAGTAATAACTATGTGAGAATTTTGTCTTATTGTCTTACAGCTGTTATTGGCCTGCTTTACCCCTGCATTGATAGTCATCTTGGCGAGCCTCACAAATTCAAGCGAGAATGGGCCAGCGTAATGCGATGTATAGCAGTCTTCGTTGGTATTAACCATGCAAGTGCAGTATCCTTAAAATGATTGGCTAATTTCTGTTTACAGTGGGGTGGGTTGTTGTTGTTGTCGTTTTTATGCTTCATTTTTTTAAAGTGCTTGTCAGTCAATATTCTACCAGCTTTACTGATGAAATAAATGTGGCAGAATGATTGCATTTTTCAAATGCTAATTCCACAGTGCTTTACACTAAAATGTTCATTTAAAATTGATAATCTCCCTTGAAACTTGGTTCCGTGAACTACTGCATTCAGGTAGTATTTGGAAAGATCTGGTGGGTAAGACTGCTTTTGTTACTATAAGGAACAGTCTCCTATAGTAATATAAGGGATTAGGTCTGATTCTAAGACTGACAAAAGTGTTCATAACTCCTACTGGATGGTCTGAAAGATCTCCACATTGGCTCTGATTCCCAGGTGTCTGTATAAGACACTACCCAGGAATATCCCTAGTCATATGGAGTTTAAAATGACAAGTAAACCAGAGCTGATTGTGTCTGTTCAATTTCCCATGTTGAGGGTACCGAGTTAGGTGCTGTCAACTCAAATGAATCTGTTTGAGTAGCTGGGCAGGTTCTACAGAAGGGCTCTTTGTTCAGCACATGGGAAATTAGGAGGTCTCTAGCCATTAAAAACACCCTTTAAAAAATTAGCTGATCAGAGGTGTCTGGATAGAACTGGTAATTGTTGGTCAGCTACCAAATCAACCAAATCTATAATTTGTATTTATGCAAGCCAGTCATCGCTTGATATTAACATCAGAGTGGTGTGTATGATTGGTGTGATTTTTGTAGCTCTTGATTACTCACAGATAATATTCTGCAGTAATTTGATCATATTTCTTCCATATGCACACAATGGTTAAGGTGGGTTACTCTCTTAACTATTAGAGGAAAACAGCATATCTGCAATAAGGAGTGGTTAAGGTGGGTTACTCTCTTAACTATTGGAGGAAAACAGTATATCTGCAATAAGGAGGTACAGTACTGTAATTGTACTGCTGTTACCTGTTGTTTCTTCTATCTCACTGAGTTGGTGAGAAGTGTATTAAAGACAAGAGATAAGTGAAATGTGAAAAGTGTAATTGTACAAATACCTGGGTTTAAATCCTCACTCAACTATGGAAACTCACTGGGAGTTTGGAACTGATAAAGCCACTCCTTAAATATCTTCTTTATCTTGAAAACTGCTAGAGTCACTCACTCCTTAAATATCTTATTTATCTTGAAAACTGCTAGAGTAAGTGGGTTCTGACTGGATGGTACATAACAATATAAGACTTGAATGAAGATCTGGGGGCGGGGGCAAGAAGAAACTTGTGAGGCTTTAAGGTCACGTTATTTTCCTTAGCTTCCTTCTTAGAAACTGGATTTTGCAAACAATGTTCAGCTCTCTTTGACACTGGCAGCTTTGTCACTGGGTCTCTGGTGGACATTTGATCGTTCAAGAAGTGGACTTGGACTTGGAATTACAATAGCTTTTGTAGCTACTCTGATTACACAGTTTCTTGTCTATAATGGAGTTTATCAGTAAGTGAATCTTCCATCATGTTTCTTTAAGAAATCCTATTTGTAAAGTATGGATTATGTTTATGCTTTTTTATACCCTTCATCAAATGTATGTGTTCACTCTTCTGCTAAAATGTGAATTTGGCCATCCTGTCTTTGGCAATGCATAATTCCTATGTATAGATTCAGGATTTTTCTGTGCTAAGCTAAGTAAGATTCCCAATATGGTGTAGTGGACATAGTGATGCACTGGGATTCTGAAGAACAGGGTTCAAATCCCCACTCAGCCATGGAAACTGGGGGAGTGGAACTGCTAAAGCCACTCTTTAAATATCTCACTTACCTTGAATAGGGCTACCTTGAAAGCCCTATTAGGACTGCTATAGGTTGGTTGTGACATGATGGCACAGAACAAGCTGTCAAATAATTTTAAACTTGACTGGGGAAGTAAAAGTCAGGCTTGTATTGAAGAAGGCAATTTCCTCCTCTTTCCTGCTCCCTCCCTCACATTCTTATGCCACTAAACCAGCCCTCTTTGAAGCACTCATTAAGTACTTACAGGTGAGTACAGGCAAATGAGCAGGTTGGTGGAGAAGGGATTGGTTCTCCATTCCTCTCTGTACTCAGCAAAAAATATAGACAAGTTGCCAGAGAAAGGAACTTGCTGTCCCCATAGAAAAGCAGTATTTTCTTGGAGGAGGCTAGGGCTCAGTGTTCATTGCTTGCCAATGCTAAGCAGTCTTGTATGGGGCTGGAGATCGGGCTAATAGGTTTTGTTGTATTGTGTAAGATTGTATTTTATTGAAACAGTACTAGGCACAGTTAGCCTCAACCCCATACAGGTTGTAGTGATACAAAAGTGATTTGATACAAGTAAAACTAGAGAACAGATTTCACAGTCAGGTATTCAGTACTGCTGACAAAATTTGATAGGTCAATATGCCAATTCACAACACTGCAAGTGTGTCCATT